GTTAATGCTTATTAACCCAAAGAGTTAATAGATTCTACATTTATCCATTTATGCCTTTTCTTTGGCAATAAAATGTAGTACCAGATTTTTCCAGCAGGTGTCCTCCTGTATAAATTTAATGATTGAAATCTTTTTTTTTTTTAAAGGCAGAGACAAATATCTGCCAAGTAATTCCAATGTTGCCTTAAAATTGCTAACTTCTTTTCTGTATTTCTTTCATTCTATAAATATGTTAGTCTTCAATGTAATATTCTCCAGGTGTTTCAAGACAGGAATCCGCAGTCTTAAACATTGCTGGTAACTACTTACTATCACCCAGAAAATGGCTGGGTTTACATTAAGACTTTTAGTGAACTTTTAACCTAATGTATCATGGAACTTCCAAACAATTGAACCAGTAAAATCCTGTTAGGAGAAATATATTATTAGCACAAACCAAAATGACATAAATATTGAACAAGCTTATGCAGAACACTTAATCAAAAGCAAAGTAAGAGAAAACAAAACAATAAACATGAATTTGTTATCTTGCTATCCAAGCCTTTGTGTGATATTGTCTATATTGCTAGTGTTTAAGATGCCATTGATAGATTGAATTTTATTGTTGCTGATCAGAATTTTTTGTAAGTCATACAAGCCCCTTGGGATGCAGCAGAGGGGTATATAAATATTTGTAAAATTTAGGGTTGCCAGGTTTGCTTCCAAAAAATAGTGGACAAGTGGGGGGGGGGGTTAAGTAGTAAAAAAATAAAAAAAAATTACAATTAAATTATATATTTTCTTACAAACATTTTAACACATATTAAAATAATCACTTCAAAACTTTACTTAAAATTCAAAACATCAAATATATTATAATAATATGTAAAATATTAAATTACATTTTACTTTGCTGTCGTGTGTATTTTTTATTTGACTGCGCAGCTTTGATCAATTCTTTGTGTTTAAGGAATAATTCTTTAATTTCAGTACAACGTTGAGAAATATTAAAAAATATACAAAGTTCACTTCGAACTGATACAAGCAGTCAGTTATGTTCATCAGTCCACAAATTTCCCATGACGGTGAAAATTCGTTCAAAGTTTCCATTTGATACCGGAATAGATGCACAATACCGGAACAGTTTCAGTAAATTCGGAGCTGGCTCTTTCTTGAAAAAGTACGTCCACGTATCAAGGGATGAATCGCCCTGCAGATGAACATAAACTTCTTCTAAGGCAGAAATTTCATCGAAGAGAGTGTTGGGTGGAAGTTCTTCTCGCCATGGTGTAATAACCAGATGTTCGTCATTTCTTCTAAAGTTGGAGGATTATTGCGATCAATTAGATTGAAACAACTTAGCGTCTCATATACTGAATCGGTAAAATTATACCACTTTTCTAGGTACACAATGGCTCTTTGATACATGTTGATGGCTTCTTTCTTGAACTTTTGCACAGGATTCTCAGGCAAATGTTTTTTACATAAGGCAAATAAAATTTTCATTCCAAAAAACTGCTCATCGTATTTTTTTTGCAAAGAATCACACAGCTTACACGATAATGTGAAGATCACATGCAAGAATGTTCTTGCTTTCCAGCTTCAGTAGGGTGTCTTGCATTATTGACATGAAGAAGTGCGTGAAATATAAATACAATTCTGAAATTGTTGGTTCATCGTCCTTTGCGAGTTCATTTTCCTGATCCGAAATAAGGTTCCAGATAACCTTATGGCACTCATCAGATCCAAGAGAAATAAAATACAATTTTAGAGGTATCCAGTTTAAAAGAAGTCTTTCGACCGCTTTAAACAAACTTAACCAACGTGTTGGAACATGGCGCAAAACTTCATGGAATTCTGACTCGCAAAACTCAAAAAATGATTTCAACTCTTCTCGTTTCTTTGCAGAATTCGAAAATTCGGCAAAAACCTTCAGCACTACATTTTCGATATCAAAAGATAACTGCTTTAATGCATTTTTGCGCTGTTGTGTAAAATGTGATTATTGCAATGAGCATTCGATCTTTGTCTCATTCTAACTTATGAAAAAAAAGACAAAACGCGATTCTATCCTTATTCTTTTAGACTTTACAGCTTTAGATTACGTACCATTTCATCATAAAGCTTTTGAATAAAAAAAAATGTCCACTATTTTGTGAAAAAAAATAGTGAACATAATGTGAAAAAAGTGGACTGTCCGCTCAAATAGTGGACACCTGGCAACCCTAGTAAAATTATTAAATATGTGCTTTGGCTACAGATCATACTTCAGACTCATAGAGTCTGTAGTCGTTTTCTCGACTAGAGCTTCGTTATCAAGTCTTTAACACCAAATTAGTTTTGTCTCTTCCTGGAAGGGTGTGTTTGAGGAGTGTCAAATGTCACAGCAGCATCATGTGACTATCATGACTTTTTCCCCCTTCGCTAAACTGGGTGTGGCCATGGCCAGCGCATGACGGATCTGGCCCACAGGCAGTGAGCTTGACACCCGTGCTCTTGAGAGTCTATATATTAAGTTAATGATATTTATAAATCATTGCAACATTTAAAAATAAATTAGAGCTTTTTTGAATTTATTTTTGAAATGCTACTATGTTCATTTCAGTGATATTTTAGAGTCATGATTATATCAAACATGCATTATGATACCTAAACAAGGTAATAGGAGGCTATTAAAAATGTTTTCAGTGTTGCATCCAGTCTTATGAAATACAACTGCTCCTAAAACTTGAAAAAAACAGAAAAGAACAAATTGAAAACATTAATTTTAATGACTGTCATACTAAGTTGTTATTAATCAGTTAATTCACCACCAATGTGAGTTGTCCAATATTTCTTCACGTTTGTGTTTTGCTTTGCTTTAGAATCTCCAGGTGCACAGGCTTTGGTCACACAGCTAAAACTACTCATTAAAATACTGTTATCATAGTTTCAAATTTCAAATGTTAAACGCTTTTTTTATAATTGTTCTAAAAAAAAATATGCAAAAAATTCCTGCATTGCCAAAAGTGCACATATCAGGCTTTGAAAGAATCCAGCTGGAGTTCTACTCACAATTTTTCTGATTGTTCAGGGTTAGCATAGATAAATCCCAAGCTTTTATATGCCTTTCTTGCAATGCTTAATCATTTGCATCCATTTTTCATTAAACAGGCCCTTCCACAGACTTAGTGGCAGTTTCAACATGCCACTACCTTAGAATTGTAATACCAGAAGAGATTATTATGTCCTACTTAGAGTAACAATCCAAATTAAAACAATACAATAAATAGCTGTGCAGTCTGAAATAGAGACAGCCTGTCTTCTCTCTAATCCAGGGGTGTCAAACTCGCGTTGTCACAGCGGCATTGTGATGTATCGAGACTTTCCCCCTTCACTAAATTGGGTGTGGGCGTGGCCAGTGCATGACGCATCTGGCCCACGGACCGCAAGTTTGACAGCTCTAATCCTTTGTACGTCAAACTGCTCTTAATATTAGCAAGTTTTTTGTCTCATTTCAGTTTCATGTCCGTCTTCCTGTAAGTTAAATCTCAAATTCCATATTCTGCATTCTGGAATGTGCCTATGTGATACATAATGTGACACATTATGTATCACATAGACACATAATATCTATGTGACATTATTTCATGTACTGTATTTCAAAGAATTGATAAGGATAAACTCAAGAAATCTGTACAAATTGGGAATGTCCTTTTAAATAGTTGAATGCTATATGGTGAGGTGATTGAAGGAAAATATATATTGTTTGAGTGGTAGGAAGAAAAATTAAGAAAGGGATAATAAATGATGTTGGGGAACTAGGTCATAAATCCATTAATATATCTGCAATCACAGCATAGTAGGTAAAATAAAATCACAGTAGCTACATTAGAGGCTAGGGTGGTGTTTCTCAAACTTGGCAACTTTTGGATATGTGAACTTCAATCCCCAGAATTCCCCAGCCAGCCATCCTGAAAGTTGGTTCACTCTTCTTAAAGATGCCAAGTTTGAGAAATTCTAGCTAGAATAAGTTCTTCTGGTTAAATCCTGCAAAAAAATTGTTGACTATCTGGATTTCCTATCACTGCTTACAAATAACAAGTTGTTAAGGATCTACATAATGAATGTTTTGAGAAAATACCTATTTTTTTTCTAGTGTGTTGCTGTTTTAACCTAATGAAAACTATTATATTAACAAATCCCAGCTGCCTTCCATGATCTTGAAGAGAAAGTCAAATATTTGTTATTCCACAAAGGTAGGATGGAAAAGATCAAAATTTGATATCTGGAATTCTCTCCCTCTCCCTCCCTCCCTCCTTCCCTCTTTCTCTCTCTTTCTCCCTCTCTCACACACACTCACACGTATTTGTAGTAGGCAGATGTTCAGTTTTGGTTGACTTCATTTTTGTCTGCAGTAAAGAATCCGCACCGTCAAGTAATGCCTTAAATTCACTACTGAGTGAGCCAGCTGCAAAATAAGGGGATTTGAGTGTGGAAATCCTAGAGCTACAGATATATCAGGCTGAAATGTGAACTATTTTTTCTTCTATCAAACACTAGATTTAATTAAAATGTTACTTAGGTAACATTATTATTGTGTTACATAGGATCAACAGCTCAATATAACTTAGAACAGAGGTCTTCAAACTTGGCAACTTTAAGACTTGTGGACTTCAACTCCCAGCTATGCTGGCTGGAGAATTCTGGGAGTTGAAGTCCACAAGTCTTAAAGCTGCCAAGTTTGGGGACTCCTGACTTAGAACAACTAAGCACTACATAGTTTATGTGTGTTTGTATGTATAACATCCAGTTTTTGGCACAGGCTAGCTCAGTTGGCCTCTGAGGAACAGCTGTCCATCACAAAACATGAAAGCAAACTCCAGACATTGAGCTGCATAGAGATCAAAAGTGTTTTCAAACATTAGGCTACAAGTCTTTTGAATTTAAAGAATGGAAATATCACATTAAAGAATTACTTATCATTCAAATCCTACGCCAAGGATCGGTTTACATACTTTGAATAGAAATTCACATAAAAATAATCAGTAAAGCTTTTTATTGTTATTATCAAAAGCATAACTATAAAAAAATAAAACCAGAACTTTATTGCCTTCCCCTTTGATTTCCTAAATTTAAAATGACAAGAGGCTCACCAAAGCACCTCAATGCTTAATACTGGCTGAGAGACCCTGGCTGCAGGAGAAAAAGAAACATGATAAGATGTTATTGCATTCCACAGGTCTTCGTCAATACTGTAGGTCTAAAGCGGTAGTAGCAATTGGAAACCTGAATCAAGGTTTATTTAAGAAAATATAAATGTCTCCCCCTAGTGGTAAAATAAACATTAAAATAAACAGAGAGCAATACACAGTAGCCTAAGCCAAACACCTGCCTTTTGAGCTACGCTGCTTTGTCCTAGCTAGTTGTAGAGTTGATCCTAGGTTATTATTTTTAGATACTATCATATTATAATATTATAGATAAAAACAAGAGATCATGTAGCTAATGTATTTTTTTTAATTAAAAGTACTTTTATGAAATATAATTTAACTAATCCTGTGTTTTCGTATAGCAATTCAAAACATGGATCTACATCCACACATTTGACTTCTATTCTTTATAATAATTAAGATAGTGATGTCATACAATTTAAAGGTCACCATATAATTGTAGTACATAGTATTAAAAAGCAGTTTGATTAAAGATGTCATTTGCTTTCTAAAAAGGGAAGCTAGGACAATATAAAGTGACTTTTTTTTTCTTTGTATGCATACTTTTGGTCCACGAGAATTCCAAGAGCTTCATATTTCAAGAGAGCATCTCCTTGTTGATGTTGGGAATTCTCAGAAGCACCCAATCGTTGGCCCAGCTGGTGTCAAATCTCAGGCAGTTCAAAGTACATGATAGATGAGGTTGGAATGAGGCGCCTCAGGAGAGGCTGGCTGGGATTCAGGGCTGGCAATAGGAGAAAGGGGAACAGCGTCCTGGGGAGAGAATCCTTCCTGATCTGAAGAAGAGATTCTATCCACTATGCTGGATAAGCAGTCCAGGCTGGAGAGGGTAGTGCTTGCTGCTTCTGAGGGGTAGGCTGAGAGGGAAAGACAAAACAGCACTTAGTGGAAAGAGATACAGAGTCAAAGTTTGATGCTACTTCCTGAGTTGGTCTAAACCAGCCACTGCAGATGTCACATGTGTTCCTTCAAGTCTGCCATCTCCATTAATAAAGGAGAATCCAGGGGTGAAATCCAGCAGGTTCTGACAGGTTCTGGAGAACTGGTAGCGGAAATTTTGAGTAGTTCGGAGAACTGGCAAATACCACCTCTGGCTGGCCCCAGAGTGGGGAAGGAATGGAGATTTTGCAATATCCTTCCCCTGGAGTGAGGTGGGAATGGAGATTTTGCAATATCCTTCCCCTGCCATGCCCACCACGCCACACCCACCAGGCCACACCATGCCTACCAAGCCACGCCCAAAGAACCGGTAGTAAAATAATTTGAATTTCACCACTGGGAGAATCCATTATTTCTCTCCTTCAAGCTATTTGTCAGCTTTTGCTAATGCATGGAAATATGTCCTTTCCGATCATTTCAATTCAACTGCCTAGATTTACGCTGATGATTGAGGTGACATTACAACACCCAATGATTATTGGAGCAAATTTGACTAATGTTTAGGAAACAATGTTCTGTTTGTTATGTGAAGCCATTGGTTAGGCCTATCCTCTGGAGCAGTTCTTCCAACATCCTCCAAAGTTTTGTATTACAGTTCTAGGAACAATTAGTCAGAAGAGTCAGCAACTGATTAGGGATTCTGTAAGATACCCTTTAGAAAGAAAAACCTAACCCGAATGTGTCAACATTTCATATATATGAAACCTGCTATCATTCTGTCTTTTAATTATTTCTTCTCCCACCTAAGCATACACAGTTCTTTCCATTTTTGTTTATGGGACTTGGATCAAGAAATTACATAAAATACTGTAGCTGCATAAATCAAGCTGCATGTAATCAAGAAATTACATAAAATAGCTGCATAAAATATTGTATATTATTTATGCATTCCACTCGGTACACTTTTAAAGAGAAAGATAGCTAACAGATATTCGAATCTAAGGTAACTGAATTTCTCTTTTCAAAGTCTATCATGTGCTGCCAGATATTACCAGAGCAGCTACTGGATTATTCTATCTAGTTGAGTACCTCCATTTTTACGCTCTTAATGCCATCCTTGGAGAGTGAAGATCTGTGAGCCTTACCATTTTGGAGATCAGAGCAGTAACTCCTGCTATAAGTGCTGTTCCTTCTGGACCACAAGGGACTGCTGCATTCAGTCTGAAATAAACAAGAAGTCATGAGGTTGGGGCTTTCTATACATTAAAGGCACTGTCAATTGGATTTCACTTGCCAGAATATCTGGAAAGAACTTGGACAGATATCAGGAATATCTGGATGGATCTAAGTACAGGGCTGAATGTAGTCCAATGTAGTCTCACAGAGGATGCTTTCTGGTTGTGCAGTTGTTTTATGTACTGTGGCTCAAAGCAATAGCATCTAGACTTATATACCACTTATATAAGTGCTTCACAGCCCTCTCTAAGCAGTTTACAGAGTCAGCATATTGCCCCCAACAATCTGGGTCCTCATTTTACTGACCTCAAAAGGATGGAAGGCTGAGTCCACCTTGAGCCTGGTGAGAGTTGAACTGCCAAATTGCAGGCAGCCGTCAGTCAGCAAAAGGAGCCTGCAGTACTGCATTCTAACAACTGTGCCGTGTTATTCGAACAACTAAAATCTTATAATAGGGTTCAGTTTCAATACCTTATGCTTTGCTTCTTATTTTTGCTATCATTATATGAGTACAGCTTCATATCACAGATCAGATATGATTCGCTGTGTAAAATACGTTCATTGCATTTCACAGTTGCATTGAATTTCTACCAATTGTATGTTTTTTTAATAACACCCATCAAACAACTGACACTACCCAACTGTTAGGAAAGGTGCACCCTGTATTTCACAGTAATCTGCTAAAACCAGTAGGTGAGGCCTCCATTCAACCACATCCATTCCCATGTCCCATAGAGGTGGGAGGGGGGACCCATTACGAGATTGACTGATATTGGACTCCTGACTCCCGAACTGGGATCCACTGCAGTTCCTAGTTTGATGGAAGGGATATCCCAATACAGAAGCCTCCTGGGTAGCAAGCGGAGACATACGGGCAGCCCATCTGCTCAGGAAGTTCCATGGGGAACCGCTCCCAAAACGGGGGGGGGGGGGAAATACGGGAGGTCGGGTGTAGTACTCTTTTGCTATGTATCCTCACTAAGTTTGCTTATTATCTTCCAGGTGCGGCCCTGGTAAGAGGGGAGCCACCTGTCAAACCCCAATTTTCCCTCGGGGTTTGCCTTATCGGAGGGGGGAGGGAAGCTCCTGATGTATGGGGGGTTTATGAAGCCAGTGGCTGCAGCGGCGTTATAGAGAACCTCCACTGGAGCGCCAATCAGCTGCGTAGTTGGGTGGCGGTGCAGCACGAGGCAACTGGAATGCCCGATGATCAGCTGTGAGAGGAGGCAAAGGTATCGGCCCAACAATCAGCTGTGAAGCCTCGTGGATCAGCCAGGTGAGGATCCAAATAGTGATCTGAGACACAGCTGTCTTCTGGAAAAGGCCTGCACCGACATAACTGCGCTGGGAGGTGGATGCTCCCAGCGCTGACTTTATTTCCGGATTGCATCTGTTTCATGCTTATTGCTTTTTGGAACTCATTTGTGTGCCTGAGTCCGGCTTAATAAACCCAGTTATCAACCACACGAGTGGAGTTGTTAATGCTGGATTAGGTCTGGAACTCAGACCTCTTAAGAATTACTACTAATAGTAGTAGCCTTATTACTATTGCATGATTACATTTCAGATATAATAACATGCTAGGAACTGTACTGAGCGGAATCTGAGCCCATATATTTATGTGCCCACTTCCCAAGATTTAGCTACCCTAGCCATGCCAAGAAAACTCCTTTGTGTAATAAGATAACTAACCAAGCTTATCTATACTGTGGTACCTATTTATCTATTCACATTTGCATGCTTTCAAACTGCTGGGCTGGCAAGAGTTGTGGCAAGAAAAGGAGCATAGCAAGAAAAAATGGGTTTTTGCTAAATGCAAGCATGTCAATTTCTCTGGCATCTCCAGAGAAAACTGAAAACAACATGGCATAGAGACCATATCTTGTTTTTTACATGCACATTTTGTCCATCAAAGTTGGGACAAGCCTAGTCTTTTCACTCTTTAAACTGTTGCATGCATTGCATTTCGCTAGGGAGTGCGAAAATGATAGTTGATAGATGACAAATAGATGATAATAGTTAGATACAGATACCGCGTTTCCCCGAAAATAAGTCCTCCCTGAAAAGGATTTAACCGCATGCGCAGCCAGTCCTTGCCATTTCCTCTGGTTAGGGGTAGGCAGACAGAGCTGGAAATCAGGTTAAGATGGCAAGAGGAGCTCCGTCTTGCTCCAAGCATCCCAAAATAATAAGACCCCCCCCCAAAAAAAATAAGGCTAAGCACTTATTTCAGGGTTCAAAAAAATATAAAACAGGGTCTTATTTTCGGGAAAACACGGTATATGAGAGTTCAGACTATCTGATCTTATATGCATTATTTTGTATCATGTATTTTCTATATAGCATTGCTGTTTTGTTTTAAATTAAATTATCTAGCCAGAATCATCTTAATTTTGGGCAGGGTCTAAATCTAAAGTTGGGACTATAATAATCTGATGTTAAATTCCTATTAAGGTAATTTCTGCATTTTCTGAAAAATAATAATGTACAGATGTATCAACACGTACGTACAACTGTATAACTAAAACATCCACAAAAATAATGCATGTGAAGAAAATATCGTTACTAGGACTACTCAAAGGTCATACACATGGGTAAACATTTAAGATCAGAAAGTGACACTTTCCCAAAGTGGTGTTACAAAGGAGTGAGGGAACTGCCTTCAGATTAGGTGTTCATGGTTGAACACCAAGTAAACTTTACTATGGCTTGTTTATGCTCTCTGCATTTTTCACATGCTTCATCCTGGCCTAATGAGTTTTCTGAAGAAGAGTTTTGAAACAGTTAAGAGCAAGACCCATCAGAGGCACTTTAGAACTGAAGCAGACGGCTCCTTAGCACTTAAACTGAAACACAACTGGTGTTTCACTCAAGCTCAAACAGGAAAACCTGGTGATGTCATGAACTTCAAAGCAAACACTTTAACAGACTCAGGGGCAAGCTCTTGCCGTCAGGGATCTATAACTTTAGCAAACAACACAATCCTACCAATGGACAATCTGAATAAATCCCACCAAGGAAAATCCCACCACAGCCTGTCTGTTGCAACCTCAATATGCCTAGAATAATCACTACCTACACATCTTTGAATCAGAACACCTCTGAGATTTAAATAAACAAGTTTATGGTCAATGGCCCTGAATATTAAATCAAGAGATCTGACTCTAATCCTTGATGGATCTGGCTGGATCACTTAGCTACCCCCATCCAGTGAACTCCCCTGGGAAAACAGGGAAATCTAGTGCAGAATTACAGGAAACTGATGTATGCAGTGAGGTGCAGTGCAGTTCACTCCCAGAGAAATTAGTACAAGAATTTCCCAGAGTCACTTGAAGACTTTGCCATTTGATAAGATTGCTCACAAGGAAATTTGAAGGATAACAGCTTGCCCTCCCAACCATTATTTTTTACACTGCAACCTTACAGCTCTTCCTCAGGAGTATGAGCTGAGCTAGACTAGACTACCGTATATAGTGTTTCTTAACTTCAGGAATTTTAAGATTTGTGGCCTCCAACTCCAAGAATTCCCCTGCCAGCTTTGGGGTTGGAGTCTACACATCCTACAATCGATGAGCTTGAGAAGCCCTGCATTAGATAAATGTTCAGAAGGTACACTTGTAACTCAAGTGCACAACTCAATCTATTCAAAAAAAAAAAAAATGTAACAGGTTAACCTCATAATTGTTCTCTTCCTTCTTTTTGTATCCAGGAAGGCTGTCTTAAAATTGTGGAAGGATGCCTAAATTACGTTTTGATCATATATCCAGCAAACAGAATAGGAAAACAAAATTTTGCTGTACCATAAATTTCGAATGAATAATCTTACATTGCAGTAGTAACATGCAGCATATGGAGATATTATGTCATGGGACATTTAATGGGACAATTAACATGCTAAGCCACAGAACAAACAGACTCCTCTGGAAATTTGTCTCCATTTTCCATTTGCAGAACATGGACCAGCAGCTAACAATTCATTTCAGAGAATTGTCAAAAGGAAATATCAGAATGTTTTTTTCCCCAAAAAATCCCCATTAAGAGAGTCATCGAAATAAAAAGATTGTGATCCACCACGGTGGTCTTGCCCATCTACCACACAAATAGCACAATCTTATTCCCACTTACTAGAATCAAAGTTACCATATAGGCTACTCACTAAAGCTTTTCATACCGTGGAATCAGCAAAGGTGGCTACAGAGCCAGAGAAAAGCAACTCAGCACCACCGATTTCCACTGGACTCAGAATTCTAAGGGCTTGGCCTCCCATGGGAGCTCCTGTAGGGGCCAACTCCATCCTCCACGGTTACTCCTCCTTGCAACCTCCAAACATTCGGAACTGCTTCCAGAATCAGAAACAAATCTGCCTCTGGGCTCCGGCCTCAACCTACCAGGCAGCCCTGCGTTGCATTATGGGAATGTCAAATCCTGCCTCAATCCCGGGAAAGCTTCGCTAAACATCCCGAGATTGGGACTGGGCCCCGGGATGGGACGGAAAACAATCACTACTATTTTAAAAAAGAGCGACCAGGAGCAGGTGAGGCTGCAGCGAACGGCCCGGGGTTCTCTGGGAGCCCCCTCCGGCCGGCCGGAGGGGGCTCCCAGAGAACCCCGGGCCGTTCGCTGCAGCCTCACCTGCTCCTGGTCGCTCTTTTTTAAACTGGTGGTCAGGGTTTCCGACCTCCTTTCCGGGGCCGTCGGCGCAGCTGGAGTGGGGACTGGGGGGCTCGGAGGAGCCGGGCGCGGGCAGGCCGTAAAACTGCTGGACCTGCTCCCGCAGCAGCTCCTGCAGGCTCTCGATGTAGCTGATGGCGTTGCGCAGGATCTCCACTTTGGGCAGGCGCTGGGCGGCGTTGGCCGAGGAGGTGCAGCGCTTGAGCGCCTCGAAAGCCTGGTTGACCTTTTTCAGCCGCCGCCTTTCCCGCAGCGTGGCCGCCTTGCGCCGGTCGCCCGGGCTCGCTTTCTTCTTGCAGGCTTTGCAAGCCCAGAGCAGGCAGGGGCCGGCCTGCGAGTGGCCCGTCGGGGCGCGGACGTGCTCCTCGCCGTCCGAGCTCCCGGGAAGTTCCGCCGAGGGCTCTTGGAGCATCCTCTGGGCGAAATCCTCCTCTTCTTCCTCCTCCTCCTCCTCCTCCTCGGGGGAAGGGGCGAAGGGCGAACTGCCGTAGAAGAAGCCGCCCGAGGGGGGCGAAAACTGACAGCCGTCCATCCTCTCTTCCATCCTCGACGCTGGGCTGGGGCATCGGCGCTCTGGAACCGGCCGAGCGGCTCGCCACTCTTTATATCCCGGGTGGGCAGCCTCGCTAGCAGCACCGTCACGACCTCTGCTCGAGGGGAGTCCCCCGACCCTCCTCTCTCTCTCCCCCCCCCCCGCTTCTCTCTCAAGGGGCCCTGCGCTCCTCTGGCGCGGATTGGCCGCTGCCTTTTGCCAAGGCGCGGATCCAGGAGGTGCAATTAGTAACACTTTAAAGATCACAAGCAACAGCAGCAGCAAGAAAAACACAAAAGCGCAACCGAGAGGCGAGGTCGTACTCCGGCAGCTCGACGTGCTGAAGCGACTCCACCGCCCCCCCCCCCAAAAAAAGCCAGGCGATCCGAAGAGTAGCCGAAAACTCCTCCCTGGCGCCCGGCTATACTACTCCGCGGTAAAAGGAAGAAACTGGTTGGCGGCCGTGAGCAAAGCCAAGCGATCGCCTCGGTCCGTTAAAAAGAAAGGAATTCAAAGTTTATCCAAAAAAGACTAATCCAAGATGGTATTCAGGTGGCACCTTCCTCCCGCCCGACTATCCAAAATGTTTCCTGGACTCTCCCCAAATTGTTGGAAGTGTGGGGAACTAGGTACTTATTTCCATGTATGGTGCACCTGTCCCAGAGTAACTGAATTTTGGAAACTCATTCAGAGGTGGTTGTTAGAAATTACTGGTTACAAACTACAACTGAAACCTGAATTTTACTTATTAAACATCAGGCCAGATAATATAGGCACTAACAAATGGTATCTGATTGTCTATATCACAACTGCGGCTAGAATATGCCTCGCCCAAAACTGGAAGGGTAAAGATCTACCCTCTGAAAATATGATTATAGGGAAAATCGTGGAATGTGCAGAAGCCGATAGGCTAACTAAAATTTTAAGAGATCAAAAAGACTGCATATTTCCAATGCTGGGACCTATGGTATGTTTGCTTAGATAACAATAAAAAGAGGACAATGCTAGATTAGACTTTTATTTTTTATCTGTTTATTTAGATTGAATGTTATGTATTGTGTAATGTTCTCACCGTGATGTTTGTCGACAAATCATCTGTTTGTACTTCTTTAAAGAAATAAAATTTATTTAAAAAAATTAAAAAACAAAAACAAAAAAGGCTAATCCATAGCAAATGATTGCAATGATTTTCCCCCCTCCTCTTTTCCTTCTATTACTATTGATTAGTAATTGAACAGGGTCCTTCCATAAAAAAGACAGAACTATTATCCCGACTAATATAGAGGTTATTATAGAAGTAGACGTCGCGTTTAACTTTCTATTGCTGGACCCATTTAGCAATTTTCCAAGCAGGAGGGGAAAAAATTACGTTTTGTTCTTTCTGGAGGCGGAGCGAAACGAAAGGTTAAGGATAGCGGGCGAGTGAAACGAATCCCTGGAAGCTCCTCTCGCAGTCGAACAGAGGCTGGGGTGCAAATTCAAAGCTGGCTTAATAAACCAGAGTTGGTGGGTGGTGCGAACCGCAGCCCAAAAGGACTTCCGAGAACTTCCATGCTGACTTGCTCAGCCCTAAAGTGACTTTCAGAGCCTGAGCAGGCCAGGACGGAGTTCATGCTGCCCCGGAGTCCTGGGAAGTGACAGGGCTGCCCGGTCCTTTAGTTCCGAGACAAGGCGTTGGAACCGCAAAGCTTCTCCTGCGCTCCCACCCCCGGCCCACAGTCCGCTCTCCGTTTCTTGTGCCGTCGCAGTTTGCCAAGAGGCAGTTCTGTGAAAAGGCGCAAACTCTGAATTTGCACCGTTACCGATGTGTTCCAGCTGCTGGCGCGGCCTCCGCCCCCGGTGTGCAATTTCTAGTCCCGCAACCTCTAAGGAACATTACAGAAGCTTCCCGGAGGCCCAGGCAATGAAGGGAAGAGGGAGGGGGCGTTGGGGGGTCATTAGTGGGTAATGATAAGACATTTAGCAGGCAGCGTTTGCCAAAGTCCCGGGACCCTTTAGCCCTTAAGGTCACGTGGGATCCTCCTAAGAAAACAAGCGGCTTCCCCTCAAATTCAAAGAGCCTGAGTGGCGCAGCAGACTAATGCTACTATTTAGCTTCCAGCTGCCTGCAATTACTGCGAGTTCAATTCTCACCAGGCTCAAGCCTTCCATCCTTTCTAAGGTAGGTAAAATGAGGACCCGGTTTGTGGGGGCAATAAGCTGACTTTGTATAAAATATACAAAAGTATGAAGGCTATTGCTTAAGCCTTGTAAGCCGCCCTGAGTCTCCGGAGAACGGCGGCATATAAATCAAAATAAAAAAAAAAATAATTCAATGCAAAGTCAGAGTACAACGTGTGTACAATGAGATTGGCTGAGCCTCCTTCGTGCACACCCCCACCCCCAACCAGTGGTGAAATCTAAAATTTGTTACTACTCATTCTGGGGGGGGGGAGGTGGTAATATGACTGGGTGGGCGTGGCCAATTTTTTAAAAACTTTTAAAACCATTTTTTCTATCTCTTCAGCGAAGAGGTTGTAAAAAATGCTTTCAAAACGCTCTGACGATCTCAGCTGAGTTGCCTGATCGGCAGAGGCTTTTTTTCTTTTAAATGCCTCTGACAATCCAAGCTGAGCTGCCTGATCGGCAGAGGCATTTAAAAGAAAAAAGAAAGCCTCTGATGATCCTGCGGTTCAGCCGGGCATGGGGGGAGGGGCAGGGATTTTTGCTACTGGTTCTCCAAACCACCTGCCTCGAAACGGGAGCATTTCACCCCGCCCCCAACTCAATACAACTCACAGTGAAAGACGGAGGGGAGGGGAATCCCTAACCCAATGAATCCTACTAACAAACACAACCCTACCACACCATGTGACCTTATTGCACTTTGCGTCGCCCGCAAGTTAATCATACTATGTTGTTGTAAAGTTATTTTCCATTCAGAAGCCTGACAGCCCACGGTGGGGCAATTTGCTTTTGTTTCTTTACGGTTGCCAGAGGGGCAGCCGGGCTAATCTGTTGCAGAAAACAACAACCACCAGGAGCCTTGGGGCACGTTCGAGACTGACCAATGGCACACGATCTTGGGTTGGGGGGAGGCACTGCGCCCAATAGGAAGATTGCTGTGCTGAACGTCGCGTAATCCGGGGAGTGGGTGCCCGGGCGGCGGAGGCGGAGGGGGGGGGCACTGAAAAGAGAGAAAGCGAAAGAAAATGCAGGGGGAGGGGCTTCCTCAGTGGCAGTTCAGTTACACGAGGGCCTTTCACAAAACATTGTCCAGCGTTGCCTTTTCTTCTGGCCTCTCCCACTTCCCAGTTTATCCTCTGTAATGAAACTGAAATGCGCCTTCCAGGCTCCTTCTAATTTGGGGCTACCAGACACTTATCACAGGTCTCTTCCCACAATACCCGATTCCCAAACAATCCTAGTTCACACGACCCCCCCCCCCTCCCCAAGTCCCTCGTTGTATAGCGGGACTTTTTCCTAAGGCAGAAATCTTCAAACTTGGCAGCTTTAAGACTTGTGGACTTCAACTCCCAGAATTCTCCCAGGAGTTGAAGTCCACAAGTCTTAAAGCTGCCAAGTTTGGGGACCCCTGTCCTAAGTTGACATAAAAGCTCGCTTCCTTGCTCTCCGTCTGCTCCTTATGCAGGTTATCTGGCTAGGGAAGTCCACTCAGTAACAAGCAGCCTTAAATTCAAAGGGACCCACTGAGTCAATCTACCATCGCGCTATTCTGAACTTGCTTCCAAGGAACCGCCTTTGCTTTTGAAAGTCAACCGCCCATCAGGTGCATCACCCCTGTTGGCTAGGGCTATTCGCGAGACCCCACGTTAAGATAGTGCCTCCGCCTTTGCAGTTGCCATTTTCCCCTTAAACCAGGGTTAAACCAGAGGAGCCTGAGTGGCGTAGGAGGCTAATGCCTCCTACTAAGGCAGCATTTAACATCCAGCTGCCTGCAATTACTGCGAGTTCAATTCTCACCAGGCTCAAGGTCGACTCAGCCTTCCATCCTTTCTAAGGTGGGTAAAATGAGGACCCAGTTTGTGGGGGCAATAAGCTGACTTTGTATAAAATATACAAAAGAATGAAGGCTATTGCTTAACGCATTGTAAGCCGCCCTGAGTCTCCAGAGAAGGGCGGCATATAAAAATAATAAAAAAGAAATAAAGTTAAGCCAAGCCAATCCTCTGCCTCACAAGCATTCCAATCTGACAGTTCATTCTCCGGCTAATTAATTCGTCTTCGAGCTCAAACGATTTCATTCCGTTTTGGTTCTAGGTGACCTCACTGGATGGCCTGATGACGGGCCAAGAAGAGCCTCTGTTTCTCAGGTCCTGCCGGACGCAAACTCCAAAGCAACGTTGACCGGGACCGATGGGACTTCGAAGGTGCTCGCTCTCCTGCTTTTGTCGGGATCTCCAAACTGAAGAAGCCGGGGAGCATTTTCAAGATGGGGAGAGCGTTGAACAAGGGAGTGAGTTGAATGGCCGACCTGCGTCTTCCTCTATCTGTGCACGTTCCGCCCAAAAGTTTATGCTTTCATTGTATCTTTACTTTTAGCCCGGCTCATTGTAAAGATTTGTGCTGTGTGTTTTGCCCCACGAATAGGCTGAAAGCATTCGGGTGAAAACGTTTTGGGGTCCTTACCAGTGGTGGAATTCATTTTTTTTTACTACCGGTTCTGTGGGCGTGGTGTTGCATGGTAGGCGTGGCTTAGTGGGCAGGGAAAGGATACTGCAAAATCCCCATTCCCTCCCCACTGCTGTGGGAAGGATATTGTAAAATCCCATTCCCTCCCCACTCTTGGGGGAAGGATATTGCAAAATCCCCATTCCCTCCCCACTCTTGGGGGAAGGATATTGAAAAATCCCCATTCCCTCCCCACTCTTGGGGGAAGGATATTGAAAAATCTCCATTCCCACCCCACTCTGGGGCCAGCCAGAGTTGGTATTTGCCGGTTCTCCGAACTACTCAAAATTTCCGCTACCGGTTCTCCAGAATCTGTCAGAACCTGCTGGATTTCAACCGAGAGAGGCCGGAAATCCCGAAGTCCTCCCAGGGAGTGGAGACTCCGGCATTGCTCTGGCACTTGGCGTCTTCCGCCACTTAAACCATAGGGATGGGAATCGGTTGCAT